CCCCATCATGTCGCTTTGGGACGCCACATAATACATTTAAATAAAACAACCTTTACAAGTTTTCAGATGCCATTTCATCCATCTTTGTGTTGCAGTTCATGGGTCGAAATAACATTAATCTCGGTCCTGATGTACTGCTGCGTCAGCGGTCCATTGCAGGGAGCAACACCTTCATCAACCTACGAGAGGTGAGTGAGCGCTTCAAACTGCCTCCGGGTGAATATGTCATCATCCCCTCCACTTTCGAGTCGCATCGCAAGGGAAGCTTCGTACTGCGTGTGTTCACAGAGAAAGAGGCTGCTGCCAGGTTTGTCACAAGTGTTTTTAATATATTTCAACATTTGTATTTTAAAAAAAACATGGGTTTATATAGTTCTCATTTTAGACCACATGGTGGTGATGTTGCATAGGTTCTGTTCTGCCTTGAGTGGACATTTGGTTGCTATCTGATTGTCGAACCAATAAATCATAACTGTACCTTGAACATTTTTGTATTTGCACCCAAATGCATGATGGATGTTTCTGACTCTCGTCCCTGCAGCCCGATGGATACGGAGATCAGTGCAGACGTGAAAAAGGTGAATTTATTATTAACAAACATAGTATTATTTTGATTTATAAGAAAAACATTTCTATAAATTCAGATATATCCCATATAAAAAATCTAAAATTAGGCTACTTTTTTAAATGAATTTAAATAATTTTTTTCTTTACCAGCAATTCATATCCGAGAGTGATGTGGACCCACATTTCAAACACCTTTTCAATCAAACTGCTGGAAATGTAAGTCACAAGGCTGGTCATTTTCAGTTTTGGGTTTATGTAATTTTTTCCTAGTACACATGATCTTGTCTTCAATCCGCAGGACTCAGAGGTGTCTGTGTTTGAACTACAGCAGATCCTGGACAGTGTTACCTCGAAACGTAGGAAAACAAACTTTCCCAGTTTCTTTCACATTTATTTAAATGTATATATCTGAAAGCACCTTGAAATTGTTTAACATTCTGTACTGGTCATTTTCAAAATGTTTTGTGGTATTTCACACAGAAACTGATGTGAAGACAGATGGATTTAGTATGGAAACCTGTCGCCACATTATCAGTCTGCTAGATGTATCCTTACCTCACTGGATCATAGGAATGAATACTACATGGGTTAATGCAGAGATTTTTTTCTGTCAGCCAAACCCCTTTGACCTTAAAGGGGTCATATGATGTTGCTAAAATAACATTATTTTGTGTATTTGGTGTAATGAAATGTGTTTCTGCGGTTTAAGGTTCATAAAACACATTATTGTTTCTCCTCTATGCCCCGCCTTTCTGAAACGCGCCGATTTTTACAAAGCTCATCAGTCTGAAAAGCAAGGTGTGCTGTGATTGGCCAGCTATCCAGTGCATTGTGATTGGTCGAATACCTCAAGCGTGTGACGGAAATGATACGCCCCTCACCATATTGTGATGCCGTGTCCCGGCCGGAACGACGAGACAAAAA